AGTGCTGTGATGTGCCCAGTGTGGGTACTCCGGGCACTCCAAGCCAGGACTGCTTTGCAAGCGGGGCACCCCTGAGAACTGTCTGTCCGGGGTGGGGGTCGGGACCCTTTAAGCACAGCCCTCGGCTAGCCTGAGACAGCATCTCCACGCTCTAATGCTAATTCGAACTAGTTTTTAGTTCTAGACGCGTTAGTTTGAATTAGCACTGTAGTGTAGACGTACCATACAGATTCAACTTAAGAACAAACCTACAGTCCCTATCTTGTACATAACTCGGGTACTGCCTGTACATAGTTCCAAAATAAAAGTCAGTCACAATATTTGCTACTTAAATATTTTAGTATAGAAGAAGAACTTTTAAAAAAAATGTAAAACATAAATCAGGCTTAGCTTTATGCACTGTGAATAATTTCATTTGGAATACTCACAGGGTCTAATTCCATAAAGAGTCCTTTTGGGTCTAATTCAATAAAGCATCCCTATTCAGGAATGCACTGAAGCACATGTTTAAATAAAATGCAAGTGAATGTGACTTGAACACATGCATAATGTTCTGACATGCTTTCCTAAATAGAGGAAAGAGTATGATTTAAATACACATGCAAATCTTTAGAGAATTGAATTCTAAGTAATTACTGCTTTGCAAGCACTAATGTGCACATATATCATATATATCTATTTAATCAAAGCTGTTTTAAAGGGATAAAACGTATAAATGTTTAACATATGAAATCTGCAGAATTCATTAAAACTTTCAAATTAATTTTGTTTGCTTTCAAATCACTCAATAAATTCCACTCAGAGAAAGTGAAGTATGTCACATGGCAGCTTTATGATGTTTTACAGTCGAGTGTTCTACAGATCTACTGAAAAACAGCTGACACAATCTTAAATACCAGGTCAAATAACATTGCCTACAATATTGCATTTATCATATGGACATACACAGTTTTGTTTTCAGATATATTAAAATTCTGTAAAGAGCTTTCAATGTAAACAGATTTAAAATTTTATTTCACAAGACATATCTTAGCTGTATGGGAGACCTGACCTTTGAAAGAGAGTCTAGTTATTTAATCAACACGTATAATGGACTATATTACATATACACCAAAAGTCTAATTTATTCCGTGGGGGATAAAAAGCATCAACTGCAAAGAAAAATATAAACACTTTTTTTTAAAAAAAGAAAAATTACCAGCAATACAGTTTGGCAGCAGAGAAGGATCAAGAAATGGTAATAATCATCTTGTTCTTCACATAAACTACAACATACCATTTGAATGAAACTTTTAAAGATGAAAATTATCCATAAAAACACAAAATAAATTCCTCTAATCCTTGTGCCATAAATTACTAATCCATCTGGAAAGCTAAATTTGTTGCAAATGTTTACAAGGGTCTAAATACCATCAGAAAAAAAGGCAACTGGGTTAGTAACATATAAAATAAATAAATAAATAAACAGACAAACAGCTGAAACTGTTTGATCATATGGTAAGCAGGATTTACAAAAGTACTTACAGCTCTCAATCTCCAGTGTGCAGTTTTGTTCATCCAGTGGATATCTTCGTAGGTCCATCATACAAGCAGCTGTTGTTGTAATTCTAGAAGAGAAGCATATATGAAGGCCACTTTTATTATGTCTGAATCATATCTGTTTGATTAAATGGAGTTGAAACAACAGGGAATGGATTCTGCATGATAAACACTTTTGCTTCTTTGCTTATTACTAAGATATCGCAATGTGCTGATTATTCGTAAGTGTATGGAATCATTAATATAGTTTATGGAATCAAACTGATACCATGCCAATCTGGTAGACTAAGGAGCAGCTGATTACATTTATATGTCTCCTATATTATCTTAGAGCCTCATAATCTTCAATTGAGTTATACTGACAACACCCTAGTAAAACAGGACAATATTATTATTTCCAATTTACAGATGTAAAACTGAGGCAAAGAAACACTAGTGTATGTTTATACTCCAATAAATAGGTATAGTCTTAACTCAGGTTAAAATAGTAGTGCAGACATGGTGACTACTTTTAACTCAGGTTAGCAGCTCAAATTCACCCCTGAGCTCCTTGATAGGCTGTTACTTGAGATGCCAAGTTTTTTCTGCCATTTTAACCAAGGTTAAGAACATTAAATAATATTTATTTTGCACAATCACATGTATAATTCAATTTTCCATTCTATCTTTCACTGTGCAAATGAAGACTTATGTTTGTGGTGCATCCTCATCATCAGCAATGCAAGAAGTATTTTCGGGATTCTGTTTATGAACTATTTAGAGCATATTTATGCCTTGACATTGCAGAAGTCTTTTGGGCCTTTTAGATGTTTGAAACATCTGTACCATGAAAAATGTTTCAGGGAGAAATAACCCTGCTAGATTTCAGGGAGAAATAGCCCTTAGCTGAATGTAAATCAACGCAGAGCACATCAGCAATATTTTATTAGTTATCCTTTCAAAACTTTCTGTTGTGTAGGAAAAACAATTTTTGATCTTTCTCCCCTACCCCAAAAACACATAATGTTGTGCACTCTACTGTGCTTGAAAAATAGTACATTTTGCAATCTGCCAGCATATATATGAAATGGATATGTTTTAGCCTCCTTTTAACTTCTAACCCTCGATATGTGCTCTACTATCCACTGGGAGAAGGAACAGGAAATGGCCTGAGGCCTAAACCTCCTCCAGTTGGACTCTTCAAGAGCTAGGAAACTCCTCCATTGCTGGGATCCATTTTTCCATCTCTAGACATCATGGCCTACCCCAGTCCCAACAGCTTATTTAGATACAAGAATAGCAGCAGTTCCTGGAGAGACTCAATGGTCTCTCAATATGCTTTAGTAATCCTCTTAGGGGGCAAATGTGGCTGTTGGGGGGAGTATACCCACCTCATCAGCACCCTTTTTGATACCACAGCTTCAGAAATAGAGTTGCCTGAGACATAGTGCTAAGGTAACTTTTTAAAAGCACTAATGCATATTTCCTGAGTGCCTTATGATGAGCAAGGTAAAACCTGACTATTTCCTTAATTCTTTGGGAAGCGGAAAGTAGTCATTGGTGGAGATGACACAGATGATAAAAGGAGCATAAGGAAACCTCAACTGAACAAACTCAGAAATTGACACCTACTTTACAGGTGAATGAGCCCTTCAAGCATGAACTGCCAGGTGACGACTCGACATAAAGCTCTGAGGTCAATAGTTGTATGTAGCCATTGTGGTATGCTCAGCCCAACAGCAAACACCAACTTCTCATCACATATAGCTATGAACGTATTGGGATAAATACGTTTTGTATTTCTCTAGGCGTCCTTTTTACATCTGTTGTCTCTTCAAGTTCTTTCCACAATGTGCATCATTCTATAAGGCCTAGTTCACATTAAGGATGTTAACTAACGAGTAATTTATGAGTTGAGTAGTCAGTGGAATTTGATAGGTACTTCCGCATTACTCCTTTGAAATATACAAGAGCCCCAGCTCTTTGTACATTTCAAAGGAGGAATGCAGAACTCCGCTTGCAGCCCAGGGCCAGCAGGAAGTCATACAATCATAGGACTGGAAGAGACCTCAGTAGGTCATCAAGTCCAGCCTCCTGCCCAAAGCAGGACCAATCCCAACTAAATCAACCCAGACAGGGCTTTGTCAAGCTGAGACTTAAACACCTCTAGGAATGGAGATTCCACCACCTCCCTAGATAACCCATTCCAATACTTCAACACCCTCCTAGTGAAATAATTTTTCCTAATATCCAACCTAGACCTCCCCCACTATAACTTGAGACCATTGCTCCTTCTTCTGCCTGAGCCCAGCCTCTCTCCATCCTCTTTGGAACTTCCCTTGAGGAAGTTGAAGGCTGCTATCAAATCCCCCTCACTCTTTTCTTCTGCAGACTAAACAAACCCAAATCCCTTAGCCTGTCCTCATAGGTCATGTGCTCCAGCCCCCTAATCATTTTGGTTGCCCTCCGCTGGACCCTCTCCAATGCATCCACATCCTTTCTATAGTGGGGGGCCCAGAACTGGGCGCAATACTCCAGATGTGGCCTCACCAGAACCAAATAAAAGGGAAATAAGCACTTCTCTAGATCTGCTGGCAATGCTCCTCCTAATGCAACCTAATATTCCATTTGCTTTCTTAGCTACACGGGCACACTGTTGACTCATATCCAGCTTCTCATCCACTGTAATCACCAGGTCCTTTTCTGCAGAACTGCTACTTAGCCAGTTCCAAGCTCCACGAGGGTGCTTACCTTTTGAAATGCACGAGAGTCCCCAGGGGACTTAAAGCTGGCTCCAGGCTGCACGAGGTGAGCCAGCTTTGAAATGTAGAAGAGTCCCCAGCGGGGTCTCTTGTGCATTTCAAAGTGGAAGCTCCTGCATGGAGCCTGGGGTCAGAGTCTCCCCACTAACCCTCGTGCTCCATGCTGCACTGCTGCTTTGAAATGCCACGTGGAGCCCGAGGTCAGATGATCCCTGGCTCTGCTTAGCATTTCAAAGCGCCAGTGCCACATGGAGTTCGGGATCACCTGGATACTCCTCAGCTGACTCTGACTCCATGTGGCACTGCCACTTTGAAACACCACAGCTGCATTTCAAAGGGGGTAGCGATGCACAGCTGATTCCAGGCTCTGTGCAGCGCTGACCCTTTAAAACACCACAGTGCCGCTTCAAAGGGGCAGTACTGCATGGAGCCCAGGGTCAGCTCCATGCAACGCTGCTGCTTTGAAACACTGTGGCAGCATTGTAAAAGGGGCAGTGCTGCCCAGAACCCAGGCACAGGCTTCGTGTGGCACTGCCACTTTGAAGTAACCTCTCTTCCCCCTCCCCCCTTTTCTGCCTCTATCTAATAGAGGCAGCAGGAGAGGGATTGAGTAGCCGACTCGATTATCTGATAAGCATTTGTTTATCAGATAGTTGACTAGTCCCTAATATCCTTAGTTTAGGTGAAATATTCTCCATGACCTAGAACGCCTGCATAATTTGGTACTGGGCCTGACTATCCAGAGGGGACCGTATGTAGTACTGCCATCATAGTCCCCTATTCACTGTAGAGACATCCTCACTTGAAATTCCAGTTGCTTGCACCAGACCCTTGATGCTGCCTACCTTTGCCTCTCCTACTAATAACTCCAACCTTGACACTTTCCCTTTTTCTATACACTACTACTACAAACATTCACTAAATCCTATCCATCTGTCTCCTTCAAAACCGTGAACACGGAAAGTGAGGAAGGCAGGTCTTTTATCTTCAGGAGAGACAGACTTCAAGCTCAGTGCTACTTGACCACTTTAACATATGTTTCCTGATAATGAGTACGCCTATGGCATCTTAGAGACTAACAAAAATATATAGAATCATTAGATGAATTAGCCATGCCACTGACACCTGGAGAGAAGAGTGTCAGAAGAGAGAAAGCAGAACAGAGATAGAAGACAGCTATTGATTTCCTCCTGGAAGTAGAAGGGGAAGAAGATATTGAGAATTATTAAAAGCTAAACAGATAGCACCACCTATATTTAATAATATTGTCCACCAATTTCCAATATAAGACTGCTTCCTCTGTCTTATAACTTTGTCATGCAGGCTGATTATTTTGGGGAAAGTTTCGGCAAAAAACTTTGCTTTGTTTCTAAGTTATCCAAGTTTCAGCTGTTTCTGAGAACAAAACTAAGGACAGAAATGTTGTTTGCACAGGTTAAAAACAAAATAAAACCAACCCTACAATTGTTTGGTTGAGCAGCTTTAGCATCTTCAGGAGGGATTTGAAATTTTGCAGGGGGTTTGTTCCTGCATTGGGGATGCATCCAACATTGGACAAATTGCTAATAAAAATCAGTTCACACATTCAGCTAACTGTGGCAGCTAGATTTCCTGAAGATTGTGTCAGCTCTGAGGATGCCTCATCCTTTCACAACTCCTGTGTGCCAATCAACTCAACAACTTTAATTCTGGTATTTCTCAATTTTGAATGTTTGACTTTTCAACTTTAACAATGTTTCAATTCAATGTATATAATGACTTTGTAATTATCACAAACATATATTGGTGTATGAGCCTAAAGATGGACTCTTGCCTCCTCAGAAATGGGAATAATTAAGAGTAATTGGTGGTTAATAGGATATGGCTTTAATCAAACCTAAGGAACAGTTTAGGATCATTTCAATACAGCATGTTTGTTCATTCTATCCACAGTGAAAATCAACAGAAAAATGTATCTGTCCTTTCCTCTCCCCCTACTCTTTCTCATAATTTTATATTGACTAGAAATGGGGACACAACATTTTCCCCCAAAATGATATTCATCTTGCATAAGTGCAGTGAATAGATTCTTTGTTTCTAAGTTATCTTTCACAACTGACAGAATTAAAATATCAAAAATACTTTGAAGACCAGAGCCTTGAGAAAAGCCCATTGGAAAGGAACTTTAGAATATCCACAACTTTCTGCAGTCATGAGAGGCACTCTGCTCTTAGAGATATACTGTATGAAAGGAAATAACACAGAAGCTGTCTGCTATTCTGATTTTTCATCTACTTTTAATGAAATAGAAGCCCCTTTGATGTTCCATTTTATGAGTCTGCTAAAAA